TTGTCATGCCTTGGGATTAACCGGCAGTTGACTTCAAACTACCATGACCCAACTCTATGTCATATTCGACCTGTTCCACAGTACTCAGCTTACTTTTTCTCTGCCTTTATTTCTGTCTCTTTTACATCTACTAATCACTCTTCTGCTCCTCCTATCAACTTTTTGTGACTGCCTGCTCCTCCTCTCTGTGAAGCCCGAAGTCAACTAAAGGGTTAATGATAACTATCAAAACGCCGGCCATTTGAAATAATAAATATGTTTGCCACACCCTATGTGATTTGTTTCCTAAGTTTTAGGTGTCTTCATATTGATGGTGATCTTTTATTTGCATTCCCCTTACTTTGATAACGGAAGTACAGTTGGTGTTCGATTCCCTTCCGTTATTTGGATTCATATAATCAATACCTCTTGTTTATTCCTTTGTGGTGCATTATTCAATACAGTTCTACGAGCTATTCAACCACCCTATTCTCACCAATCTGGCTTTTTTGAAATTGTAATAATCCTTCAACTGCTACTGATCATGCGAAAATATGCTGCATTTAGCATACTTCAATCATTTCAATTAAAATACAAAAAAAATCTTTCCAAATGTAATGGAAGCGAAACAAAATATGTTAATTACCAGTGAAAATTGAGATAAGATACATGATTTTAATACATTATTATGCACACTGCCCGGGATATTGAGATAAAAGTATCTTGTAAATAGCCTTGGGTTTTGTAAAAATTGATACATTCCTATGAATGGCAAATTTGAAGCACCCATTGAAATCGTCTTCAAATCCCAGTTCCTGCAGATAAAAGACGCTATTTTTAGTGTTTTGCATTGTATGTGGGCTTAAGTGTTTTGCTATCTATATTGATAAAATCAGGCCTATTTTGATTATTTAATGGGGAGCTATTATTAAAATTTTGCACAGAAATAGGAAATTAAATAGGCAAACTTATTTTTGAAGGGGGGCGGGAGGGAGAGTGGAGGAGGAATGCAAGAAAAAAATGTATATATATATATATATATATATAGGGTGTCCTAAAAATACATACGCACTTAAAATAATTGCAACCTTGGTGTTTATTATTATTTCAGTATTTCAAATGTGTAAAAATATTTACAAGTATCATTTTACAGTTTTTTCTTTTTTTGGGGACCTGAGAATCCACACATTACTGTCGGCCGTCATGTCAATTTACCTGGAATTACAGTGCAGAGCGGTTTAATAACAGGAGGAATAAGTGGATCGCTCTCTTTGACGTCACTGTAACCGGTCCCATTTACTTGAACTTTCTGCAGTTGTCTGTTATGCCAGACACTAGAGAGGTCTTTGATGATGAAGAATTTTATTTTCAGCATGGTGGGCCACCCCCACATTACCGTCGCGACGTTAGGTCTTTCCTTGATGAGGTCTTGCCAAACAGGTGGCTTGGACGAAGAGATTTCGTTGAATATCCTCTCCATTTATCAAACCTTATGAAAACAGATTTTTTCATGTAGGATTACTTAAAAGACAAAGTCTACACAACGAAACCTGCAATAATCGCTGAATTATGAGAAGCCATTCAGCTTAAATGCGTCCAAATCGCGAGGGAATTATTTCATGATGTCTGCGTTTCCATTGCTTGGCATTGTCAGCTGTGTTTGGATCAAATTTGGACATTAATTTGAGGACAAGTTGTGAAAAGTAGTAAAATTAAACTTTAAAATTAATTTAACACTTTTGAAATGGTAAAATTCTAATTGAACGCCACATTTGCAATCAACTTCAATGTGTTTATATATATTTTTAGGACAACCTGTATATAAATGTACGGCCACACAGGTAAGTAGTTGCCCCAAACTTTTGATGTCCGTATCAAGTGAACTGTCGAAGCACCGCGTGATTTAAAAACTCTTGATTCGTGGCTCTTTGATAATACAAGAAAATGACAAAATATTCCAAATTCCTTTGGGGAATTGAAGAATTCAAATGATGACTCAACTTCGGCGCGGTTGATCTACAAATGAACCTTGTCAGTCTTCTCTGGCCAAATCCACTCAACCGTTATGAGAAAATGTAAGTATGTAAAAAAGGGCGTTTAAAGCATTTAGTTTAGCCCTGAATGAATATTAATCGTTTTTTTTTGATAGTTAAGAAGGCCCCAACTGTCTAGTTCGCGCCATAGCACTCACCCTCTATGGTGTGTTGTTAGACTGTTAAAATGCGGAACAAAAATCAATAATTCAATAAATCAATAATTGTGGACAGGATTGGTAGAGTAGAATGGTGTGGAGCGTTTTTTGGGAAGGATTGAGCGGGCGAAGTAGAGGAGAAGAGACGCAGAGATGAAAGAACGGGAGTTATGCGGAAGAAGCTCGTTTAATCAGGGAGGCTTAAGGAAGATTAATTTTATTGGGGTTCACAAATTGTAATTCGTCGCCTTTTTTGTGACTGCTTGATTTCCGAATTGAGGCTTTCATTTATCCATCGTCTCTATTTTCGCCACCTGCTCCATATATGACGTTGACTTAACCTTCTCTCCAAGTAGTTGGCATGTGTTAGGTGTCCTTAATGGTTTATCTTGGTTACCTTGACGGTTAAATTTTTGTAAGCGAATTTGAAGTTTAAAAAACGATGCCGAAATTTCTTTATACTTCAAGTTAATATTGATGGCACTTGTGTTGGCTGACTGAATTTGGCTAATTTTGTTGGATCGCTGCCGTTAGTTTTGGCATCTTCCTCCCGCGCTATGAGGGGTAGTGACATTTTCTGGCTGAAAGTTGGGACTACCCTCTTTTGCATGACTGGAGTCATGAGGAAGATCATGAAGTTCTATGGTGAGGTCTCATTGGAACAGCTCAGATCGTTAACAATTAGGCTTGAGGGATTACGCTATACTGAACTCTTGATGTAAGATGGCATAAACGGAAGAAAGAGGTGTTGTAAGCTTGAGAGAATGGTTGTTTGACACTTGCAGAGTCCAATCGATTGGGTGAGGGAAGAAATTTTCTGTAAAAAAGTGGGATAACCCGGGTCTGGAGTTTCGGATTGCCATCGCATGAAAACATGGCTGAAAGTAGGGTTCTTTAATGCATTCGGCTACTTTAACTTATTCAACAGTGCAGATTCTGTATGTCCTGGCAGACAAACATACTCCCATATTTATAGGAAGAAATTTCATCCACAAGTATTTCATAATATAGTCAGATTGGTTATGTGGGCAAGGAATAGCGCTTGGCGGAGAGCTTAAACAGGAGTGCAATCTCCGAATTAGACCAGTGAGTGAGGTTTTAGCAGATGTTTCTCTTGAGACCCATAGAAGCAACTGATGGTAACTCTTTAGTGTGTGTCATAACAATTGTTTTCTGAAGCCTTTTCAACGAGGTTTAAAATTTACACCCTTAGATTAGTTGGAAAAGGAGAAAAGTTCAGTTGAAACGTCGTTCTCCGCTTGCTAATACCTCAATGTTGGAGGCTATTTTTAAACTACATATACCAGTTATATGGATCTCATTTTTCGAAGATGGGACAAGAAAGACGAGCGTCCACTGCATTTCAAGGAAAATATGTTAAGCATGAAGTATCATGTCAGGTTGAACAGATCACATTAGGCTTGGATGATCACAAGGTCACAAATTTTTCAACCTTCGTCACCAATAGATTATTTTGTAATTTTATAATGCACTTTTGCACTAATGTGAATAAATAAGTTATTGATCTGAAAAGCAGGACGAACTTCAAATACTGATATAATACGTGTTAAAAAATATTCATTTCCTCATTGTAAATGAAATTCATGAATTATAAGTTTTGTAAAATAGCTATTAAAGTGAAATTATTAGCAATATATTTATATTAAAATTGGAAAATTTCATTTATTCATAAAAGAAATTATAATTAAAATTGAAAAGAATATATCATGCGTTAGTGCCAGGACTAATTTGTCTAAGTTAACTTTAAAAAATCGATATTAAAGTATCCTATTACACTGCTAAGGGAACTAAACGGGTAAATGCAAAAAAAATATAATTGGCTCTTCTATTGAAGTAATTATTACCCCTTTTCCAGTGTCAAAACACACAACAATCCTAGCCATGTAATTGCACATAATTCCGAACTGAAGCAATCGAGTAGGAAGCCTTGAAATGGCGTGTAATTAAGTTAAATTGCTAAGAATCTTGCAATTCGAAAAGTGATGCCTAACTTCTTTTTAGCGATAAAATCCCTTCTGCAGAATGCAACTAATATTAGACTCGATTTTCGTGATTCGTTCTCAGTTCTTGTCATTTCCATTTACTTTGCTATAGTATTCAGGGCTTTTTAAACACTTAATTTGTCTCAATGCTAGATCATGCCAATTATAGCAATAAATAGGTAATTAGATTAGCCAATGCCAAAGTTCCTATTAAATTCACTCAAGTTGACGAGTTATTATAATCGGCAAAAACCAAATTAAATATAGGCGTCCACATTGAGGCTAATTTTGTCAAAAGATCTTCAAACATTGATTCAAAAGACCGCACTTACTTGCTTTTGTCTCTCTATTGTTTTAAAAATTTGAATTGCAAATCAGTCCAAGCTTAAAAATTAATCGTCAAGATAAATCGTTATACTATTTTACATTTCAATAGTTTTTTTTCATTCAGTTGCATATGATTAAAATTTCCCAAAGATAATCATTGAAACAACCACTTCCATTAACGGCGACTAATAAATCTTGAATGGTGTTATATTAGTTATTAATAGTTTATATCAAGTGCCTTCCATACGAATGACAACTTAAAAGTAACTTTGTCTCACCTTTCTTAATCTCGGTTTTTTTGATGCATGCAAGCAACAGTTGCACCAATACGTAAAGCCAAGATTGATTTTCTTAGCCAATCAGAAAGTAAGTAGCATAATCCTGGTTCTGTGGAACTTTACGGATTAGTGATTGGCCTAGGCGCGAAATATATACCCATATAGAGGGAGAATGAATGTGTGCATTTCACTGTCCTAGCCTAGAAAACTGTGAAAACTACAATGGGTTGCTGTGGTGACTATTGTAATTGCTGTTGCTCGGCCAAGACTCAGGCTGCAAATAATGATAATGATTCATATTATGAGGTCTCATCCCATCGATCGCGCAAGTGTCGATGTTTGCGAAAAGTTATGGCAATCACTTTCTCCCAACTGGGTCTATCCATTATCATAACTCTTTATTTGATCGGTGGTGCACATCTCTTCAATTATCTGGAAAGGGAACCCCACCAAAAGCGTCTCAACGACAGCTTGCAAGTTTTACAAAGCTCTTTCAATGATCTCACGTTCTCCATGAAGCGATTGAAAAGAAGTACTAGTGATGATATTCAACCGAAAGCGCGTCATATTGGCCATCGCTGCATTAATTATCAAATCGATACTCTGTATAGGGAAATTGAAAGACTCCAACAGATCATCAAACATGAGCATCTGATATCTCGAAAAACGGAAATCCAGCGACTTCGAATAAAGATAAATGGCCTAATGACCTTAGGTGAAACCGAACAACTCAATAAAGTTCTCAATCGCTCACTTCAAATTGACCTTCCCGATCAAATCAGAAGTTACCAAAATATCTTAAACCCTGGAAGGTTTATAGAGGGAGTTGCTGACTTAACGTTCAAAAAAAAGTTACATCACTTTGTGAAGGAGATCTATGAGGCAGTCCAAACAGGTTGGGTTATACCTTCCTTGGAGAAAGATGGCGAAGCCGAACCGGTTAGGCAAAACAACAATACCCGTTTCATCCCTCCCGATCATTCTTCAGATCGGAACGATATAAAGTTCAGTGATCGGACCCCAAGGACTGATCCATGGACAATAGCTGGTTCGCTCTTCTACGTCATAACGGTCATTACCACCATTGGTAAGTATGAAATTCCAATGTAATCCGAAATATTTTGCTCTATGGCCAGGGTTTTGTGATTATGCTTTTAATGCTAATAGGATTTTCATGGCAAATAAATTGCTACTTGAGTTCGCTTTATGAGTTCCGTTTCGTTTCAGCATCGTCATAGAACATGATATAAGCAAATGCCAGTTTGAAAAACAAGACTCCCTGGCATTTATTCCAGATCGTGAATGAAGAATATTGAGGAGTTAAAGGCGTTAAAACAGTTGTCGAGAAATTAAACACCATTATGTAAATATTCTTAACGCGTTGAAACAATACTGAATTTAAGATGGAATTAATACCTTGCAAAGCTTGTTTCATAATCTGATTGTGTGTATGGCGCACAGATATCCACTCGAAAATATTTTGATCCTAAAGACTACTTTAATGCATCAAACTATTCAGATTGTAGGAAGAGCGGGCATTGGGAGAAGCCTGTAGTCTATTTCTACGTTGACACATGATGATGCACTACCAAGCTGCGTGCATCAAAGTGGAATGTGGAATAAAATTCGCTCAGAAGGGCATCCTGTTCTGTCCCAATTTTGAGTTCTTCTGTGGCTGTTTCGGGTAGACATAAATATATATATATATTGTGGGCTTTATTATTTTTTAAGATATTTATATGGCAATTTGAGCAAGTGAAAATGTTTAAAGATGCCGTAAATTTCATACTGGTGTTCGTTTTCGAAAGTCACAGCCATGCCTTCAATAGATTCCAAGCGGCATTGAAGGATAGTTTTCACCCGCTAACTTCCAGATTGACTGATTGAAAGAAATATTTTCAATATGCAGTAATTTAATCGATAAAGTTAATTTAACTACAGAAGTCCATTTTCTATGTGAAACATCTTGACATGTGTGTCGTAGCTTGGATATAAATACACAATTGGTGACATTAATATCAACAATTAAAATCCTGCTACGCCACTCCCTTCAAAATAAGTTGGAAATTTCGATTTTGAGTTAGCACTCAATTAAATTCTTACCTCAATAACCTTTTGGATAAATTAATTTAGGCCTCGCTTCAAATAAAATTTTGATTGAAATTTATGGCAATAACGCCTACTTTATTTATTTTATTTTTATTGAAATAGTTAAGTTTAATACTTAAGCATAACCATGTACTATTTTCTAATGATAATATTTAAAGCATTTGTAAAAATTAAGCTTTACCAATGTTAATATTAGTAAATAATTACCTACTAACTTGTTATGATGTGGTTTAGAAAATGTCATTAGTTCATTAAAATAATATACCTTATTATAAAAAAGGTGATTGCCATGTTTAAAATCCTAGGTTCGATTATTGCAATTTTCGAATCAATCGCCTTTTTAAGTGACAAGGTTTCGGTTAAATAGAGTGATTTATTGAGTAAGCTTCCCAACAAAACAAGCATAAACGCACGTGATTTAAATAATTCCTTGAGCATTCTTTAACTTATTTTTATGAAGTGTATATTTAAAATATCCTTCTTTGAAATTACGTATGCTGTAAATGAATAGAAATATGTTTGACTTGAATCATAGACGATTTTCTCAGATGACTTAGCTTACAAGGGCCTTTAATCATCCCGTTTTAAATATTGCAGAACTTAGCACAAAATTACAAAATGTTGCTTTTGCAACGTTGAAGCAAAAGGCGTGATAAAGGTTGCTTCATTTTGTGCCATGAAATTAATCTCTTAATTTTTTTGCCTTTCTTCTGAGGGAGATGTTCGACTATTTCGAAATCCTTGTAGCATTGGGGTTTAAGGTGAAAAATAAATCTCTATTTTTTAATACTATTACTCTTTTCTCCTAGGTAATGGTTTCCACTTTATTAAGAAAGTATGAAATTTTCACTAAATTCTAATCGGTTTTATTCATTTAAAGATTTTGTAATGATTTATTAATTTAATTTTTTTAATCATATAGGCTGTTTGGTTGCTTTTCTATCGAATATTATCTAATAAAGATAAGGTAATAATAAGAACAAAAATGCAAATTATGTTCAATTAAATACATTCTTATGTACTTCTATTCACTTTTTTATTTAATTAAGTTTAATACGATTGAAATCAGAATGTCAAGGAACCTTAAGCCTCATTAATTACAATAACCATTGTTGGGATGTGCGACAGACCTATTTCAACGTGGTGCACCCTGGGTAACGTATACTCATACATCGAAATAGTCTATTAACCTGCGGTTGACTTCTGACTTTAAATTACCATGAGTCGACTTCATGTCATAATTGCCCCCTTTCACAGTACTCGCATTACCCTTTTCTCTGCCTTTGTGCCTGTTTGCCTTTTTGAACATCAGGGATTCACTCTTTTGTTTCTTCTCGCGAATTTTTAATGTTCGCACCTGCCACTTGAAAATAAATAAACAAATGGAGCAAGATTATATTTCAAATTGCGAAAAACAACCACAAAAATAACAAGCTTGTTGGCGCAGTGGTCATGGCACGCTTTGCAGTGACAAGCTTTGACGGGGACAAACAACTAACATCGATTACTACTGATTGATAATGATTTCCGGAATGTCTTAACTCTTCTTAAAATAAGTGGTACAAACACTTTCTAACCTGTCCTTGAACATCTGTAGTAAATATGAGAGGCTTGGAGGTCTTAAAAATCCCATTTGCATCTTTCAGAAAACATTTTTATGGCTATTTTTGATGCGTGAATAGCTCTATTAAATAACTAAAATGCAACTGCCCATGCAATAAATTTTATTTAAGCATCGAAAAGTAAAAAGAAATAGATCTAGTAATTTATTGGGCACTTGAATAGTGGCTAATGCACATTGTAAAGCCTAGTCCTTTCAGATGTAGAGTTAAAAGTAGTGATTGACAGCAAAAGTCTCTCCTTCCGGTTTAAAGCTAAACGAATAAAATAAAAAATAATGAGAAGCGGCAAAGTAATTGGCCAATGATTGTCAACACATGATCTGTCAATTTATTTTCACTGAAGTGTTTGCATTCTATTGGTTAACACAAAACGTCGAATTAAGGATTTCTCATCATCTAAAAAAATATTTAAATATGAAATTATATCATGGGTATTTCTTATTAAGAGGGTTTCTGAAATTATTAATAAATATTTAAATAACAATTCATATGGATCAGGGGAAAAATAAGTACAGAATTCAACATACTAATTTAAATTACATTTCATTCATTCCTTAGTTAAATTAATTGGCTAAAGTTTTGAACACCAAGTTATTTTCGCAGTAAGAATTAACAAAGCAGATGAAAAATTAATGCCCGAATATTAAGCACCTCATTTTATATTCTTATTAAGTTTACGTCTAATAAAAATAACTTTGACCTTTCGAATAGAGATCAAATACGACATTCTTAATATGCGATTCAATTAATCTGTCGAAATTTATATATATTTTAAGAAGAAGTTAATAAACTAATATTAAGTCAAGTGAAATTCTTGCTTTAAACATTTACACAGGTTTCCATTATTTTGTTTATCGGATTGGTGGTATTTATTTATTGTAATTCTTATAATGGTTAGTTTAACTACTTCTAAATTAATTCCAAATGAGCTATCCGACTTCAAATCCAATTCAGAGCATATTGTCAAGTTGAGCTCAATACGTTTGAATAGAGATCTTAAAATATCAGGAAATTGTTGTGACTTTGCTAACAACACACTTATAATTCCATGTATGTGGAAACGTAAAATGGGAAAAATTATTTTTAGCATTCACCCCCGCCCCATTTAAAAAAATATTCCTCATCAAAAGTTTTGCCACTAATAGTTCCCTCTTTTAAATAACTACTGAGAGCCACTGGGGTTTAATTTATTGACAGTTTATTTAATAACGAAAATATTCTGCTTTATAAAGTCGCCCACTCTGCCCATCGCGGTTTAGTTCACAAGCACAAGTTCTTGCAATTACAAGAATTTGGTTGTGTCAAACAAATGCCATGTTTGACTGCTCGTTCCCATGAGGTTGGCAAATTTATTCTTTCACTGTCAGACAGCTTAATAGAGCCTGATGGACAAATATCCTGCGCGTTTATATAATGTTCACTTTTAAGAAAACATTTCTGAAAAAAATTCCATGAACAGCCAATATGGTATTCGTCAATTTCTGCTTAATACAGGAGAAAGGCAATCGTTACTGCGAATCCTTTTAGGTAATATCAGCCAAAGTGGTGGGCGTCTTTTTACGTTTATTGATAGAATGGCATTTGTTAAGATGAATGAGTCATTAAATAGCAATGGGGTCAGATTAGGGCTTGCCGAATCATTCTCGACAACCTTATGTTTTCGTTTAATTATTACCTAAATAATAACGAGGTGTGGGATCGACTTACCTTCACGTGGTGCACCCTGGGCAACGTATACTCATACGGCAAAAAAGTCTATTAACCGGCAGTTGACTTATCACTTCAAACTACCATCATCTCACTCTATGCCATATTCCACCACATCCGTAGTACTCACCTCACCTTTTTCTACCTCTGTGTCTGTCTCTTTTACATCTTTGAAATACTTTTCTGTTCCCCCCCCCCCTCTCGACTTTTTCTCACTTTGATGTTCCTTCCCCTCTGTGAAGCCTGAGGTCAACTAAAGGACTAATGATAACTATCAGAACGTCTGCCATTTGATATAAATAAATCTAAATAATAACTAATTCTTAAAATACTGCCATCAATTTATTGTATTATTTACCCAATATTATTGGATTTTATCACTTACTTTGACACTGCATCAAATTTTTATTAATTTTGAATGAATCATCAATAAATTTATTTGCTTCATATTTATAATATATGTCAAAGGAAATTGCTCATTTTAATGAATAAAGGACATAATCGATTAAAATATAGTCATTATTAAAGGAGAAATGTTTTACCAACGTATGAAATTTTATATTTAAAAAACGCAGTTTCTGTTCCTTTTAATTACTGTAAACATTTTCTTTCATGGAATTTTACTTATGACTAGCATATTTATTTATATTTATGTCAAATGGCAGGCGTTTTGAAAGTTATCATTACCCCTGGAGTTGACTTTGGGGCTTTACAGAGTGGAGAATGAACATCAAAGTGACAAAAAGTCGAGATGGGAGACAGAATAGCATCAAAGTGACAAAAAGTCGAGAGGGGGGACAGAATAATATTTCGCAGACGTAAAAGGGACAGACACAAAGGTAGAAAAAAGGTGTGAGGTAAAAGAGACAGACGGACAGATACAAAGGCATAAAAAAGGTAAGATGAGTACTGTGAAAGGTGTCGAATATGACAAATAGTCGTGCCATTTTAATTTGAAGTGAGAAGTCAACTGCCGGTTAATAGACTTTTTTGCCGTATAAGTGTACGTTGCCCAGGGTGCACCACGTGGATGTAAGGTGTAAGTGTACGTTGCCCAGGGTGCACCACGTGGATGTAAGTCTATTGCGCACCCCACTTATGACTAACATAAAATTGGATGTTAAGGGGGCCCCCTTTTATAACCGAAAGTTAACGTTGCCAGGTGTGACTGAAGCCAATACTTTTGGCTACAGATCTGCGCTGGGAGATGGGAATTTGAATGGAAATGCAAAGTGTTTTCATATGCCTTTGGAGGCATATGATACTAACCTTGCCGCCAGCTATTTTGTTGCCTAAGACCACCAAATACCACGATGCCAACTTTGTTTTTTCAAAGCAAAAAAGAACTTGGTGGGGAGTGCGATAACAAGGCATGCAAAGGTCAGACTAGTTGAAAAGGAGCTACGTAATGCTACATCAAGAGAATTTTATTTACGATTGTAAGCAGGAAGTTGATCTTCACTTGGAGATTTGTTGCATACCGAAAATGGAAATGCAATTTCAGTCAACTTTTGAAATATTTTATTCTAAGAAGACACTTGCAATCAAGTTCTATTTCATAATTTCGTCAATATTTTGAATGGTCTATTGCTTTAAGGCACAGGTTAAGTCTCTAAAATCTCGTTTAATATCACCAAATTATCAGCCCCACTCCTTCTTAAGTCAAAATTTGAAAAAAACGGCTAAAATTGTAAATATCATAATTTACTTGTGTAACGAAAGTTAATTTAATGAAATATTAAAAAATAGTTAATATGGGCTGAGGGTAGTCCATATTTAAATTCTTATTAATTAGGTAACTGTCAGTTGTCCACGACCTTACTGTAAGTGGAAGAATATCTTTGATTTTTAATAACCAACAACTTATTTATATTAATAAATCTAAATATAAAGATATTAATCGGAGATATCATTTGCGTTTGAAAAAATAACGGGAAATATTTTGATCTAAACAGAAGAAAACAGCATTAATTTATTTCCCACAATAAAGAAAAAAACAACCTTTAAAAATTTCCATTATATAGGGTATTTTGTTGGCCATTAGCCTTAGGCGAATTATTTCATTTCAACATCTTCCACTTCAACCGCCCTGATTACACGGAGAACTATAGAAGCAGCTAAAAAATTGATGCGCAAATATTAAACACCTCATTTTATATACTTATTAAGTATACGTCTAATAAAAATAACTTTGATCTTTCGAATAGAGATCAAATACGACATTCTTAATATGCGATTCAATTAATCTGTCGAAATTCATATATATTTTAAGGCTTTTTTTACTTACACTCTTCCATAAAATATTGGAAGTAAAATGATTCCACAAGGAGTTAATAAACTAATATTAAGTCAAGTGAAATTCTTGCTTTAAACATTTACACAGGTTTCCATTATTTTGTTTATCGGATTGGTGGTATTTATTTATTGTAATTCTTATAATGGTTAGTTTAACTACTTCTAAATTAATTCCAAATGAGCTATCCGACTTCAAATCCAATTCAGAGCATATTGTCAAGTTGAGCTCAATACGTTTGAATAGAGATCTTAAAATATTAGGTAATTTGCTGTGACCATGCAAACAGATGATTTATGTTTGGGTAAAGCCCATTTCGATGAATTTGTAACTGTCTATCAAGTTTAAAGCTCTTGATGGCTAAATTAAATAACTTTCAATTTGTTTATCAAGAAAATGTTCATCTGTTCTATTTATCCTTATTTATTACAGTTAAAAGAAAAGAAGAAGTTTACTAAATGTAACGTAAACCTCCTTCTTCACTATTTCGAATTCGAAATTCCCCATTTCTTTAGGCAATATCAACTCGACTGTTAAAAAATAAGACAACGAACTGGTTAATTTGAATTCCTTCTTTTTATATCTCTTCTGTGTTAATATTTCTGGATTTCAAAGGTTGCTGTTGTTTCGTGGTCGGTCATTTCATTTCAAATAGCTTTTGTTAGCGAAAGACAGTTGTTCACCACAAAAAAGCCGACAATTTTCTCCCTAATCGCTATTACACAATACCCCCCCCCCTCCACCCCACAAACTCAAGCTTTATTTTCAAACATACCATTTTTCTTTTTCAATTAGGAAGAAAGTGTTTTAACTAAAAAGGGAAAACTAAAGCGGATCGAATCAGCCTTAAATATTGAGCCATATTTCGAGTTGTTTAAAAATCACTAAACCAACATTATAGGGCAAATTAATTCAGACCCTTTAAATAAACATTATCCTGACTAAGCTAGAGGTAAGACGCCTTCTTGAAATGCTTTAACTTAGTTTGTTAATTCCCAATTTATTCCTTTCCCAATCTGAGTAATAAAAGTACTCCTGAATCGAGGTTATTAACCGAATGAAATTAGATAATTTTTTTCAGGAAGTTCAGTCCTACAGAGTTACATAATTTTATGAAAAAATTTCATTCAAATTGTTTCCCCAAACAAACGAATTCCAAGCAAAATTAAGTAATTTTTTATTAATTGATTTGCAGTAAAACACTTTTTTGAATAAAAAATAAAATTATCTTTATTTAAGTATTGTAAAAATGTTTTAGCGAACAAAATAAAAATCTCATTTTGAATTTCGAGTGTTTCTTTCCATGATACATCACACATTTTTCCCTTAAAACGTATTTTATCGTGGCAATCGCTGATCTATCTTTTTCTACAATCAAATTGTAACCAGATGATCAAATTTTGGGGGATCCTAATTGCCCATTTGGGATAATAATAGTAATTATGATAATTTGCTCAACTTTGTCACGTAATATTATTGATCAGGAATAAGAATTGAAATAGCTTACAAAAAAAACAATTAATTAATAAAGAATTATTATTTTAAAACCTATTATAAAGGTATTTTTATATAATTAGGCTATGGCGAAGTGGTTCCAGTTACAAAGTATGGTCGTCTAGCAACCATATTTTATGGCCTCTTTGGAATTCCAATGATGCTACTTTTTCTCGCTAACCTTGGTAGTCTAATGGCCGACGTATTTCGTATTCTCTATAAAAGGCTTTGTTGTTGCTTTATAAAGAAGAGGAAACCGAGTTGGTCTGTTCCCACGAGCTCCACGTCGAAGCCGAGGTCCTTGAATTCAAGCAATCATGGCGAGCAATCCACCACAAGTCAACCATCACTAATTCGTCCAACGCCTGGAAGGAGTCATAAGGCGTCTGCTCTGCATGAATTAGTCAACAGAACTGCTACTCCACTACCTGGAATTACAGAAAGTGTTTTTATCTCATTGGCAGGCCCACACTCGATTTTTGCCCGAGCAATTCAAGCTCGCGAAGAGAGTCGAAATGTTCAAGTCCCGTTATGGGTCATATTCATCATATTCGCCCTCTACCTCTTCCTAGGTGGATTGTTTTTCGCCTATTGGGAGAAGTGGACATTCCTGAATTCAATGTACTTTGTTTTCATCACGGTTTCGACCATTGGATTCGGTGACTTATTACCGGGTTTGAATGATGAACATGAGACACACAGATTATACAAATATGTATTTAGTAATATTTATCTATTGTTTGGATTAGCTATGGTGGCTATGTGCTTTGATCTTGTGCAACAGGAGTTAAAGTTGCACTCGAAAAAACTCGGGAGAAAAATTGGACTTCTTAGTGGCCAGAGTCTTCCCAATAAAAATACCCACTAATCCCCTCTCTTGATCAACTTGACACATTTTTATTACCGATTGTATTTAAAGTATATATCATCATTAGATTCATTATATACATATATATATATATATATATATATATATATAATTCCTCTTACCAAACAATAACGCTGATCGAAGGATCGTAATTTGAAATAAAGGCAAACTACCCTTTCCTATTGATCATAGGAATTCTCAAAGGGCATAATGAATTGGTTAATTGATCTCAAGATATTGATAAGGTACAACTATCGAGGATTAGTGACTTGGCGCGCATTGTCAGTAGGTTCGATCTGGGGAACGCAAAAGAAATAGAATGCTATTATACACTGATAAACGTCATAAATCCTAAATAGTTCACACATTTTGTCGCATTCTGGGGGGATTGTAGTTGCCTGGAAGCACCTAACGTCAGAGGTAGTCAATATTGTTGGAGGTTTTCTTGCACCAGACACTAGAGACCATGGTATTGCTGTAAAAAATGTTAACGCTGTAAGATAATGGATAAGAATAAAGACTAGGAAATGAGTTGGCGGGAGGAGCCCTAGAAATCGAAGTTCACGAATTTACGTTGGCAGCCACATATTTGCCTGTTAAAACTAAAAAGGGCAATAAAAGATGCATTAGGGTGCTTGTATGAGTACGTTAACGATAACCGAGTGTCGTTATCTACTTTGAATGAAAAAGTTGGGCCAATTGAATGCCAGAGTAGAATAAAATACTCAACGTCTCTTTGTACTCTCTCACACTCTCTAGCTTAATCTTTATTATTTCAAATGGCAGGCAATATAAAATTTATCATTAGTTGGGTCATGGTAGTTAGAAGTCAACTGCCAGTTTATAGACTTTTTTGCCATATGAGTATACGTTGCCCAGGATGCACCCAGGTGGAGGTAAGTCTACCGACCACACCCTATATGAATCTACTTTTAAGCAATAATGTTGGTAGTTATTTGTTTTTCATGACTCATACAAGGATTCGAGCAAAAAACCAGTGTAACTGATATCCAACCACGTCAACAAAGCGCAATATTTTGGGAGTTTAAGGAATTTTGTCTTTGTTAATTCTTTTAAACTAATGGAATTGTAAGCAAAGTTATGACTACATCAGATATTTGGCAGAATCAACTTCAATCGATAAGCATAAAACAAATGACCAATTAAGAAGTCGGTGCCTATCTGGTGATCATACTACCTGTCCTAGTGTTTATAACTCTCCTCTCATTGTTTCCCATCTCCTATATGTACTCAGTTGAATTTCACACAAAATATGCTTTCTCTATCACCACTCCTGTTCGCTTTGTGTCCCAATGATCATCACCTGTGAGTCATCTACTGCTCGCTGTGGTTGCTAACACGAAGGCACTCCCTTCCTGTGCTTATTCAATAGCTGTCACCACTGCCAAACTCTAGTACTGTAAACCCTCGTAAATTGGAAAGTTGAAGTGTAACAAAATTTACTCCCAGCCCCCC